CAGCACCTCAGACCAATGGCTGATACCAATGAGAGACTCCCCCCTGGGCACACAGAGGACTGGGCGACTTGGAAGGCGCTGAACAGACTGCGCTCTGGCACCACGAGATGCAGAGCCAACCTTCAGAAATGGGGCCACAAAGTGGAATCCTCGACATGCGAGTGTGGAGAGGAGCAAACCACTGACCACCTGCTGCAATGCAACCCTGAGCCCTGCCACATGCACAAGGGAGGACCTTCTTGCGGCAACACCAGAAGCACTCCAAGTGGCCAGATACTGATCAAAGGACATTTAATCAACTACCATACTCACAAATTTTGTAATCTGCTTGTTTTGCTTTGTTCTGTTAGAAATGTAACATAATTTGACTGGTTGTTCTGACATGACAAATAAATAAATAAATCCCAGGTTTTCAGCTTTAAACTGGATCATATGAGTCCACTCTGCCAGATAATCCAGGATAAACAGAAAACCTGCAATCACATCCTGGGATATAGGGCCTGTCTGGACTGGCCCTTCATCCCTTCCCACACTGGCATCCCTTTGCCTTTGTGTCATGTTTTAATTAAATTATACACCTAAGGGCAGGGGAGCATTTTGTTGTTGCTTTACTCGTACAGTGACAGTGTTACACAGTTGGTGTTCTGCAACCACTGCTTCAACCATCCATGGTTTGAAAACATTTTTTTTAAAAAAAAATCCCAAAGCAGTCTTTGATTTTGCCACTTTGTACTGTGGAAATATAAATATAGAGCTCCATAGTGTCTCGTCCAACAGCAGTTGGGATTGAGCCCTGGAACTGATGGAAGGATAAGTGGAAGGACAAGAGTTAGCAACCCAAAAGACACTGCTGCAAAATGTAATTGCTAAAATATCAAAGTCAAAATATTATCCAAATTTAAACTATTCGGCCAGCAATGGAAAGGAATCACACAGGATCATATTTTTGCAGTCCATTAAGTGTGTTGATGACAAATCAGATAAAGGAATACTGGGGAAATTAATATAAAGCAGTGTGTATAAAGGGACATTACATTTGGTAATCTAATGCAGGCTTTAAAAGGTTTTAAAGATCAAGTCAGGGTCTGCTGCAGTTTTTAGTTTTGGATATGTTTTTTATGGATTTTAACTGAATTTTTAAAATACCAATGATATTTAATTCCATTTTAATGTTTGCATATTTGTGGATTTTAAACTGTACTGAAATGTTTTTAATCTAAGCCAACTTGAGTCTTCTTGGGGAGAGAAAAAGCAGGGTATAAATAAACATAATAATGTGTTGTGGAAGGCTTTCATGGCCAGAATCACTGAGTTGCTGTGAGTTTTCTGGGCTGTATGGCCATGTTCCAGAAGCATTCTCTCCTGACATTTTCCCCACATCTATGGCAGGCAACCTCAGAGGAACAAAATCTGGCTACCAGTACCCTCTAAAATAACCCTCTAAAATCAGAACAGTAAATAAAGAGCAACACTAAAAAAAACAGGGGAATTCCTGACATGAAGCAATCAGGGCCAGTTAACCGCTCCCAACAAAGGATTTCTGGGCAGCAACTAGCTCGGCTTCGAAGCTGCAAGGCCATTAAATACTCATCAAGATGACCAATTGCAACATTCACACTTACCTCAAGCAGACATGAGTTCTTTCCCACCCTGGACATTCCACAGATATACAAACCCCACTTGCCTAGTTACAAACAGACCTCACAGCCTCTTGAGGATGCCTGCCATAGATGTGGGTGAAACATCAGGTGAGAATGCTTCACCAAGCACCAAAGAGCATTCTGAGCTCCACCAACAATAGAATTGAACCAAACTTGGCATACAGGACTTCCATGACTAACAGAAAATACTGGAGAGGGGGTTGGGAAAAATAGACCCTGACATTTGGGAATTGCAGTTTACCAAGCACCAAAGAACATTCTGAGCTCCACCAACAATAGAATTGAACCAAGCTTGGCATATAGGACTTCCATTACCAAATACTAGAGGGGTGTGGGGGAGGCATGTACAAAAGATGACATTTGCAGTACCTTTTGACCAGGCCTCCTTGCTGCCCTGAGAGGGGTCCAGGCTCAGCTGCAGGGAAGGAAAGGGAAAGCGAAAGAGCCTGGCTGGCTGCCTCCTGGCAGCACGTGGAGGGAGGACTTCCCTCTCGCCTAGTGGGCGGGGCCTGCGCTTCTCCATTAGAAGGCTGTTGAGGGCGCATGGGGCCTGCAGGAGGAGGCGTGGCCTAAGGACAGAACAGCGCCCCCTGGCAAAAAAAAGTATTCCACGACCGCTTACTTCGAGTAATGGACGGGCCGGCCCTGCCCATATACATCTCCGACTTTGCCATATCTGTAGGATGTTCAGGTCAGAATATAGGAGCGGTCCTATTAAATTCCAATAGGTAATCTGTGAGGTAGAATGACCAATGCACTATATTCTAACCTAAGTGAAAATTAGAATTTTGATTTCCCATATTCATTATAGCTGCTATACTGCCCTGTCTGACTAGTATGTATCAATACATACTGTTTTCTACTGTGCTTTTTAAGAATTCAATGAGTAACTCATGTTATGATAGTGTTCTATTTTTGTTTTGTTTTTTAGTAATGCAGATTTTCCATAGAACTTCTCAATATGGGTGAAGTCAGGAAACTACTAGCTACCTTCATATACATGGCTCCAAATATTAGAGACTATTCCCTGGAAGCAACAATGTAATGACAAGCAATCTAATTTACAAGCTTTCTTCGGCTGCTAAATCTCAAGGGACGAATAAAGATTATATCTGATAAATGTCAAGGAAAGATGTTAGAGGTACTTACGCCCAAGTTGTCACAAGAATAACGCAGGTTGTTGAGGAAGATATTAAAAAAGCCAACCACATTGGTAGAATTCCTTAAAAACAAAAAGAATAGCATGCCTATTATTTATTTATTTATTTAATTTATTTATTTACTTTACTTGTATACCGCTGTTCTCAGCCCTTAGGCGACTCACAGCGGTTAACAACAGAACAGCAAAAATACAGTGCACGGTAAAAAACAGTAACATCATAACACCTAAACAATCTTATATAATTAACAACAATAGCCATTCACTGGCGTCTCTCACTGAAAACTGATCCAGATCGTATCCTTGTTATTTATTTTTATTTGTACCTGCACATATGTTTCTCAGCCTATCCGGGACTCAACGCGGTTTACACAAAATACAACAGTCAACAGTTATACAATTTAAAACATAAAAGCATAAAGAACAATATGGAACTCATAACAATCAATGATCTCCTGACTAAAATGTGACAGTTTCGAGTTCTTTTACACTTTAATATTACATCATTTCACTCATAACCAATGCCTGTTCTCGACACAGGTTTTTAATATTCTTGGTAACCATCAGCGAGGGGGCTATTTACCCCATGGGAAGGGCTTTCCATAGGCTATGTGCCCCCACAGAAAAGGCC